CGAGATTATATGTCACATCAAGACAGCAATCTAGCACCCAATTGTCCTTTTTACATCTCAAGAAAACTTTTTTCATCACATTTAAATCATCTGAACATATCCCGAAGTCACATCATACTCATCATATAGCCATCCAACCACTCATCGAGTCACAAATTCCACTCATAGGGACGCTACCAGACATATAAGTCCCAAAAGGATGTACTCACACAATCGGAATCCCCGTGCTCAAGCTATGGTCAAAACCCGACCTCAAGTCCTCCAAACTGGCCCGTCATCAGCACATAAATCACATCTCGCCCATCATCCATGGGCATATGAATGCATGGAGGGAATTCAAAGAGTTATGTTTCAAGCTGAATCAGTGACGCATGATAAGGAAAGAAATATGGGAAGTTTATCCTAAATGCCCTATAGCCTCTCGAAGATAGGTATGGAAGTCATCATACATATCCGCAAGACTCTACTAGATACTTGCTCATGACTTATAGAACCTATGAACCTAGGGCTCTGATACCAACTTGTCACGACCCAAAATCCACCTAGTCGTGATGTCACCTAACCCAACCCGTCAGGTAAGCCAATTAACAACTATCCAATTTAAATGAGATTTATTAAGAAAATAAATAAAAATACAATTATTTTATACAAGAATTTCCCCAGGACAGGTAGTACAAATCACGAGCTTCTAAGATTTAGAATTTACAATGCTAGTATGAAATAAAGTACATCATCTGTTTGAAATATACATGAACAGATTAAAATTTTAAACCTACCAAGATCAAGAGGTAGCTATGACCGGAACACAGGTACATCTTCAAATCCAACTCCCTCCGTGCACAACAACATCAGCATCCAACATCTTTACGCAAGGTGCAAAAGTGTAGTATGAGTACAACCGACCCCATGTACTCAATAAGTAACAGAGCTGGAACAAAGGTCGGAGTACAACACCAATAGAGAACAACAGTTCATAACAACATAATAAAAGTTATAAAGGAAGTAACTCAGAGATATAGTGCTCAGCTCGTTCAATAGTTCTGGAAAATAAGCATGCTTTTCAAGTATGTTAGTGAAAACCCAAATCTTTTATCGAAATCACCAAATCATTTGTAAAAATGTGATTTTCCCCAAAACATTCAACAGGTAAATGTTTCATTTTCAAATGGCATGAGGAAAGTACATCTCTATGCCTACATGGCAATATGTATGTGAAGTCATGAATGAAGCAATGTCATACAACATGAGAAAAATGCATCTCTATGCCTGTATGTCAAGTGTGCAGATCAAATGCAATGCAACTCGGTAATAAAATCATATGCATACTCTCAGAGTATCAATTCACTTAGTCCTCCCAGTCACTCAGTCCTCACAGTCACGCAACCCTCCCAATTACTCGACACTCTCTCTCGGTACTCGCACTCAGTAGGTACCTGCTCTCACTCGGGTGTGTACAAACTCTGGAGGGGCTCCTTCAGCCCAAGCGCTATAACAAGCCAATCATGGAATAAATAATTAAAAACATGCTGCTACATGTCCGGCCTCACTCAGTCATCAATCTCTCCAGTCTCTCGGGCTCACAATATCATGCAAATCAGCCCAAAATGATGATGTAATGTATCAATAAATGGTAACAAATACTGAGATATGATATACAAATTAATGCGTATCACCGAGTAATTGCAATGTAAGAAAATAACTCAACAACAGAAATGGCCTCAGTGGGTCCCAACAGGATAAGCACATAGCCTAGACATGGTTTCTAACATGGATCACAGCTTAACTACTCTAGCACGTAGAGATTTCATGGATACAAATAAGATTAGGTAACTACACAATACCACAGAAATAACCGAGTCACAATTCACGTGGTGCACGCCCACACGCCCGTCACCTAGCATGTGTGTCACCTCAACGCCAAACACATATCACGTATTTTCAGGGTTTCATACCCTCAGCACCAAGTTTAGAAGTATTACTTACCTCGAACAAGCCAAATCCAATACCGAGCAAGCCAAGAGAAGCTCCAAAAATGCCATTCCGCACGTACCGACCTCCAAACAGCTCGAACCTAGCCAAAAGTAACTCAAATACATCAAATAATGCCAAAGGAAACAAACCCAATCGATAATGGTCGAATCTTTAATCAAAGCCCAAAATTTACCCAAAGGTCCAACCAGGGCTCGCGCCTTAGAACTCAACGAAACTTTTAAAATCTGATAATCCATTCAATTACGAGTCCAACCATACTAGTTTCAGTCAAATCCAACTCCAAATCAATGTTCAAAACTCGAAAATACACTTTATGAAACTTTAGGCTTAAACCCCCAATTTTTCTTTATAATTCATAATCCAATTACCAAAAACGAAGATAGAATCACGAAATATAATCGAAACTGAGTGTAGAACACTTACCCTAATCCTTGTGATGAAATTTGCTAAAACTATCATCTCAATCCGAGCCCTAAATATCAAAATATGATAAAAGAACCAAAAACCTCGAGATATAGCTTCTACCCAGGCATCGTCGCATGTGCGACGCACTTAGCCGCTTCTGCGACGTCGATTTTGCGACAAACGTTCCGCTTCTGTGGAGAGGCACTGGAGAAATAGCCCCCGCACCTGCAGAGAAACATCTGCTCCTGCGACATCCCAGGTGAGACAAAAAAACCCGTATCTGCGCCCACTCCTATTTTTGCGCTCAAAATCTTGCATCTATGCGCACGCAGGTGCGCTACAAAAATCTGCTTGTACGGTCTTCCTCACCAACTGTCACCTCGCTTCTGCGATGGACAACCCGCATTTGCAAAGTCGCTTCTGCGGCCAAGATTCCATAGATGCGGCTACACCAGTACCAGCAACTCTTCAACAAGGCAACAAGAAGAAAAATAATCCGAACCACGTCCTTACCTCACCCGAGCCACTCGGAACACCGACCAAATATACTAACAAGTCCCATGACATAATACGGACCTACTCGGGACACCGACCAAATATACTAACAAGTCCCATGACATAATACGGACCTACTCGAGGCCTAAAATTACACATAACAACATCGAAACGATGAATCCCACCTCAATTCAAACTTGAATGAACTTTAAACTTTTAACTTCCAAAACTCGCATCGAAACCTATCAAATCAACCTTGAATGAATCCAAATTTTGCACACAATCCCAAATGACATAACGAAACTATTCCAATTACCGAAACCACTATCCGAATCTGATATCATCAAAGTCTAATGCCGGTCAAACTTATGAGCTTTTCAAACCTTCAAATTTCCCACTTTCGCCAATTAGCACCGGATACTTCTAGAATTATCCAAATACAAATTCGGGTATACACTTGAGTCCAAAATCATCATCCGGACCTAAAGAAACCATCAAAACTCCGCTCCCGGGTCAAATTTATAAAAGTCAAACTTAATCAACTCTTCCACTTAAAGTTTCAAACATGAAATTCATTCTTCTAAATCATCTTCCGGATCACCTGAAAATCAAGGCCGACGATTCAAACAAGTCATAATACATCATGCGAATCTACTCAAGACTTCAAATAGCAGGAAGGAACGCCAGCACTCAAAACGATCAACCGGGTCATTACACATGAGGTGTCAGCCCACCACCAAGATGGACGGGCCTATATAGAGATTTAATATGTTTCTCCCACATTGTTTGAGTATATTATTGTCTAGGGATTTTTTCTTTTCAGGAAACTACGCGCTATGTCTATTTATAAATAGCTTATTTTAAAAATTGGTCAATTCATAAAATATTACTATTATTAGCTAAATTTACCAATATTGCGAATTAGCTATTCGTAGCAAAAAAGGTTAAATTTTTGCTTTTTTTGAGTGGGTGTTATAAGAATATATTTGGTACATCTTAAGGAGCTTAAATCCCAATTTTGGGATGATTTGGTCGAGTTTTGATGTGGTTTGAATTGAATATTCGAAGTAGAAGATGAACATGAAAAAGAAATATATGTATTACACTGTATATAATTTGTGTATCATATATATATATATATNTAGTTTTAGTAAGTCTATGATTAATGGCTAGAGGTTGGTAAGTTGAGACTTATTTGGTATATTTCTGTAAGATTTCCTTTTTTATATATACTATACTAAGAATTATTTTACCGGTCTTACTATGTTTATCTTTTTTTTTACAAATATATACATTTCCATGAAGCACACTCCTTCGAATTGCCTGTTACCTTTTAAAATTCATGACCAGCGCACATCAATAATATTATTTGTTTCAAAAAAACATATGAACAAATTACATATATATAAGGTCAAAAGGTAGTTGAATTAAAAGTAACGTCAATAGTTGTTTATACAACTTGTTGAGTTGGTTGAAAAACTTTGGTAGTTGCTTAAACAACTTAAGTAATGATATTAGTGATGTTAGGCCAGGGTAGTTGAATGTAATTTACTTAAGTTGGTGGGTATATCTGTAGCATTAGAAGTTAGTAACTACCTACGCGTGGCTTAGTTTTTCAATGTTAGTTAGTGGTTAGATATTTGTATATATACACTGTAGTGTATAGAACATAACTGTAATTCATTCTTCTCTTTACTGAATGAAAGAAGAAGTTGTTGAGTTCGATTTCCTCTTCTCAATTCCATTTCTGTGTGTGTGAGTTTTATCATGGTATCAGAGCCACAGATCTATTAATGTGGTCTCTCCATTTCAATCTTCGAATTTTTCATCAGAAGCTCACTGAAGACAACATCAACGGCGGTGGTTGACAATGAACTGCCGGAAAAACTCAGTCATAATCATCCTCTGTTTTTGAATGCAAATGACAATTTTGGAGCAGTGTTAATCTCTCTACAACTACGAGGACCGGAGAATTCCATTTGGAGCCGAGCAATACGAATTGAGATCCTAGGTCGGAACAAACTAGGGTTTATTGACAGCACATGTGAAAGGGATATTACGGTACAAATCTTTGGGAGAGGTACAACGTGATCGTATTATCATGGATAATGAATTGCGTGTCACTGGAGTTGCTCAGTGGAATTGTTTACTCATCAAATGCAACAACTGTCTGGAACGATCTAAAGGAACGATTTGACAAAATTGATTGTTCAAGGATCTTCGAGATTCACAAGGAAATTACAACTATCAATCAAGGTATTGCATCGATCTCTTCGTATTTCTCAAAATTACGATTATTGTAGGCAGAGTTTGATAGCTTAGCACCAACACCGGGTTGTGACTGTGCAAAATCGAATGAATCAATTGCATTTATAGAGCGATTGAAGCTAGTACAGTTCCTCATAGGATTGAACGATTCATATGAACAAGCTCGTAGTAAGATATTGAAGATGATACCAGTTCCTTCTATGAACAAGGCTTACTCAATGCAAATTGAGCGTGAGAGTAAAAGAGCTATGACAAATCATCCAGATTTAACTGGGGGATGTGATCCAACTGCCTTAATGACAACTAGAGGTGGTGCTCCATTTAGACATAAAATAGGCTATAATATGTACTATGATTTTTGCAAGATGAAAGGGCACACTTGAGAAAACTGCTATAAGATTGTTGGCTATCCAACAGACTTCAAGCCTAAGAAGAAAGGACGATTCAACTCTGCTAATTCTGCCTCAGAAGAAGATGCTAAACCATAACACCAAGGAAGAAGGATTGCAGCTCAATCTAATGATAGGGCCACTACATCATCAGACTTTGGTATAGCACCAGCGTTCACTCAGGAATAATTCAACCAGATTTTGAAGATGTTGAATAAGGAAGGAGTGCCAGACACCTCAGCCAACAAGGCATGTATGTCCTGTTGTAGTGCTCGCATGATAAGTGATACAGCTAGGTCTCACTGTTGGATTATAGATACTAGAGCAACAAATCTTATGACTTCCATTTACAGTCTATTATCAGATACAATGGAAATGATAAAAAACAATAGAAAAATAGTAAATTTTCCTTATGGAACCAAGGTAGCAGTATCACACATTGGAAGTTGTAGAATAGGAGAAAATCAGGAAGTCAAAGATAAGATGTATATTCCTGATTTCAAGTACATTTTGTTGTCAGTCTCTATTTTCACAAGGGAACTTAAATGTATGTGTAAAGCCCCGAAAAAGTTTACTAAGTAATTTAAGGTTTTGTGGTGCCAAGGTAGGCTAATATATTGTATTTTCAGAGTTTTTGGGTTGAACAGTGTATTGGGAATTGAAGTTTTTTGGCCTGGCGAGGCCAGGTGTAAGACAAGGCTTTTGCCTGGCGAGGCCAGGCCTGTAGCGCGCTAAGACCAGGCTTTATCCTAGCGAGGCCAGGTATATAGCACGCTAAGACCAGGCTTTAGCCTGGCGAGGCCAGGCCTGTAGCACGCTAAGACTAGGCTTTAGCCTGGCGACACCAGGTCTGTAGGTCGGTCTGGAACTTTGGAGTATCCATTCTTTTATCACTTTAACCCGACCCAATTTCATTAAATACACATAATGGGTCATTTGTGAGCAAAAACCTGATGCTTTAGAGTGAGAGAAGGAGCCATAGAGTGAGAAAGTGATCTTCGCCAAATCATCCTTTAATTCTTACACAAATCTTTGAATATTAACAAGGAAAACACACTAGATCTTCATCCTTGAGGTAAGATTCTACACCCTAACCCTCAATTTCGAATTCTAACTAAAAGATGGGCAATTATCAGGAAAGTTCATGGGTATTGGAATTGTTATCTTGCTTGCATGTGTTATCAAAAAATGGTGAAGGATGGGTTGTGGGTTGATGAAATCCTCTATAGAAGGACCTTAGAGACTTAATGCGCACCTAGTGTTTGATAGAATGCTCAAATGAGCTAGAATCACAATCATCTTCCTAATTTTGTCTCAAATTGTTATATTTCCAAAATAGATTGAGGTTGCTAAGAATTCCAGAACATTGTAGAGTTTAAGTAAGCTCAATTGAGGTATGTATGGCTAAGCTCTCTTCTTCTTAGAATCGTACCCTTGGTGTTCGAGAATTTGGTGTAAGTTCCTCACTTGATCATACTAGAATTGGCTGCCTTAATGTGTTGTGTTAAAAGATTTATGTTCAATAATTGTTCTAAATGTTTATCGTGTCATCATGCTATTTGATAATGTGTTTGTAATGAGGAATATGAGTTGAGAAAGGTTCAGAATTTGTGTCAAGAGTCGAATAAAGCTTGTTAACCTAATTTGTATGAAAAGCCTCCGTGTGATTAAGATTTTCCAAGCTTTTTCCCTTATATGTGCAATGTTTTATATGACAGGACTTATTGACGTGCATGATACTGTTATTTGAATGTATAAAAAGGGAAATATTTGAATTGTAAGATACGGCCAAGTGCCTAGAACGACTTAATAAATGAGGCTACTCGTGCCATGTAATGAATGATGGGAAGGAAATGTGAATTGAGTTGAAAAATTGAAAGGATGATGTCTCAAGTGAGATGGCCTAGACGATCGGGCCATGATTGGACTCCATGCCGCACACATGGTGGTAACTGTGCTGGAAATGATAATTGAAATTGTGGATATGGTTGATGTATCAAATGAGACGACCTAGCCGATCGGGTCGAGATCGGACTCCGTGTAAGAACACAGTGGTATTACGGATTGTGGCATATGGCACTAAAGATTACCCAACCTAATAAGATGGAATTTGACTTGAGAACTTATGTGATACTTACATGATATTTTAGTATTGTTTTGAAGCTATTATTGAACTCATGACTATTTTCCTCCTTGTATTATTGTCCATTCTATTGAGATGGTGTTTTATCTTTACATACTAGTACTATTCAACGATACTAACGTCCCTTTTGTCGGGGGCGCTACATCTTTAAATGGATGCAGGTGGTTACATAGCAGACAATGGTGATCGCAGTTAGTGGTACATCATCATTTTCCCAGCGGACTCGGTGAGCCCCATTTCATTCTAAGGTCCTGTATTGTACCTTTTGTTTATATTGTGGTCACTTTTTGAGGTATAGCCGGGGTTTTGTTACCGACACCATCTTCACTCTCTTTTGTATCTTTAGAGGCTCCGTAGACACTATGTGGGTTGTATATGGGTGTTGGGAATGTTAAACCAGTTATGTTGTGTTTGATCACTTGTTACATTCGAACTATAAGAATTATATATTTTGAGACTTAAAGGCGCAATGGCTAATCAAACGATTTGGCATCGTATCTATGAACTTCCTGCTATATAATTTATGAAATCATGTTTTTTCTTGATCACGAGTGAATCGCAAGGTGTATGTACCTTAAAACTTAACAAATGAGGTCCCTAATGAATTGGTAGTAATGTACTTGTATGATCTCCTATTGTCTTGTTGATGAATCATGTCTTCTCTTTATCGTAAGTGAGTCAGGTAGAATGTGTCTAACAGGCTTGCTTGGCGGGTTCACTCGGCTGAGCGCCGGTCGCGCTCCTTGGTTTTGGGGCGTGACAAACTTGGTATTAGAGCCTAAGGTTTTAAAGTGTCCTAGGATTTCTCAGAGCCGTGTCTAGTAGATTCCTTATTATCATTGTGTTGTCGACCACATCTATAATTTTGATGCTACATGGGCATTTAGGAATAGTACTCTTATTTCATGTCCTCGATCGTGCGATAAAGATAATGGTAAGATTGTTCCTCCTTTAACTCGTGCTTTACTTTAACTTTCAATACATGGCACCTAAGAATAAGGAAAGAACTGGCCAAAGAGCCAATGTCACCCCATGAGTGACAGTTGATCTTATAATTGATGATGCGGGTGAGCACCCGATGAGTGAGAATATTCCTCCAGTTACTACACTGCCTGACTCTACTATAACAGATCAGACCGCACCTGCCCCTACACCTATTGAGGGTGCAACGGTCCCTCCAACTGATATACCAGTTCCACCTCTAGTCCCAGCTTCCGATTCTGGTGTTTCTGATGTTGATCTTAGGGGAGCTATCCAGATGCTGACACAGATAGTGGCTTCTCAAGCCCAAAGATCAAATGTTACACCCACTTCTTCTAGCCAACAAGGAGATTCTGGTTGTTCTAGGGTGAACATGTTTCTTCAGTTGGATCCTTCGGTGTTCACGGGTGCAAATCCCGAGGAGGACCCACAAGACTTCATTGATGAGATGCATAAGACTCTTCGGGTTATGCACGCTACTGAGACAGAGGGAGTGGAGTTGGCCGCCTACCACCTGAAAGGGGTGGCCTATTCTTGGTTTGAGCTGTGGGAGGACTCTCGGGAGCAGGGGAGCCCTCTAGCGAGGTGGAGCGAGTTTGCTGATGCTTTCATGGACCATTTATTGCCGGCCGAGACTAGGGCAGCTCGTGCCGTAGAGTTTGAGAATCTTAAGCAAGGGTGTAGGAGTGTGTGGGATTATCACACGGAGTTCGCGCGCCTGTCAAAATATGCCATTTTAATGTTTCCTACTATGGAGGCTAGAGTGCGCCGGTTTGTGCAGGGCCTTAGCCTTTTGGTTATTAATGAGGCTGCTACAGCTGCCTTGAATTTAGATATGAACTATGGGAAAATGGTAGCATTTTCTCAAGCTACAGAGGACCGTAAGTTGAAGAACATAAGGGAGCGAGAAGGTACCAGCAAGGCCCGGTCCGCAGGCAACTTTGGGTAGTCATTTGGTGGGGGAAGATCAGCTTTCAAGGGAGGGTCATTAAGGCCATCCCAGTCTTTTGCTCAGTCTTCAGCCCGTGCCCCGCCAGCAGGGGCTAGTCAGCAGCAGGCGAGTCGTTTCAGGCCCAATTAGGGAAACAGGGGACCCCACCAGCAGGGCCGATCAGGAGGGAGATTCCAGCAGCAGTGGAGGGCCCCATGCCCCAAGTGTGGGAGGATGTATTTGGGAATCTTCTACATGGACCTACCAGTATGTTACGGGTGCGGATTAAGGGGTCATATTCATAGGGAGTGTTGTGCATCCTGCCAGGGTGCGGGTAGGGGCATAACATAATTATCCAGTTTTGCAGCTGCTACATCTTCAGCACCCCCTCCAGCTCGAGGCACTCCAGCACCAGCACGGCGTGGTGCAGCTAGGGGTGGTGCGTAAGTTTCAGGAGGACCCAGCCTTTTCTATGCTATGAGTGATCGCCAGAGTGCAGAGGCTTCTACAAATATTGTCACAAGTATATTGACTATCCAATCTCATGATGTATATTCTCTTGTTGATCCTGGTTGCACTCTGTCATATGTCACACCTTATGTTGCAATGGAATTTGGGATAGAACTGGAATAGCTTTATGAGCGGTTCTCTGTATCTACTCCAGTTGGTGAGTCTATTTTGGCCGCGCGGGTCTATAGGGATTTTGTTGTCATGTTGCATGGTCGGGACACCGTGGCTGATCTTATTAAATTGAGAATGGTCGATTTTGATGTGATAATGGGGATGGATTGGCTTTATTCTTATTTTTCCAAACTTGATTGCCGAACCAGGACTGTTAGGTTCGAATTTCCAAATGAGCTAGTTATTAAGTGGAAGGGTGATGATACAGTGCTAAATGGTAGGTTTATTTCTTACCTTAAGTCCACAAAGATGATCAACAAGGGATATATTTACCATTTGGTCCAAGTTACGGACACCGATACTGAGGCACCTATGCTTGAGTCCGTACCCATTATGAATGAATTTCGGGGATTTTTTCCGGAT